AGCATACACGTGACGTCGATGTGGCGGCGCGCTTCGCTGTCGACTGTCCGGGTTTTGTGAGAGCCAAGTCAGGGTATTCGATTGATAGACTGGTGACAACCTAATCCATCGATGCGCACTCTGTACATCCACTCTTAATCGATATTCGATCGATCAGTCAATGACTTAAGAAAGGAGTTCACTTTAGCAGTCAAGCGGATCAATTACCCACTTAGGAAATTATCGAGGTCGACCAATAAACTGGTCTATCTCTCTGTTGAATGTTTTAATCCGTCAATCCATTAATCGCTTGTCCTACGTGATTAACCGATTGAATGAATCAGTCTATTCATTTGATCTTTTCAGAAATCGATCGATCGCTACTTCATCTCATTGATAGATTGATTGAAATCAGTTGATTGATCAATCAATCAATCAATCAACTAGTGAATCAAACAACTAGCCGATCAATCAACTAATCAATCAATCAACTAATCAATCAATCAACTAATCAATCAATCAACTAACCAATCAATCAACTAATCTATCAAACACTAGGTTGCTTAACAAATCAATCAGTCAAGCACATTTGGAATGACTCATTCATTCGATGATATAACGGACAAATTTTTAATTTTATGTTCTCAACGGACAGATTTATATTTACATATAATTACTATATTACATCTTTACAAGGGAAATTTGTGAGAAAGGTGGATGGCCATGCCAAAAGGTCTCGTCCGACTATCTATTCTCCAGAAAAGAGTTTTTATGTGGGGGAGAAAAAAAAAAAAAAAAACTCTTCGCGACAACAGCCTAAACCCTCGACCACATGAATGGTTTTTTTTTTTCTTTTTTTTCCCGACGAGCTTTTCTAAATCGTCAGTGAAAAAAAAAACGCAACGTTCCCAAAAATAAATAGACAAATAAGAAAAGAGCAACGTAATGCCACAAACCAGGGTGTTAAATCGACTAGATTGACCTGAGCTTCTATTTGAAAATCCGGGCAATAACCGATAAGCCTCAGGAAAAAAAAAAAACCTTAACGGGACAT